TCACCGCAGGGACACCTGCCTTGATCCTCCACCTTGGTGGCAAGTACCACTGCCTCTGGGCAGCAAGTACCACCCCCCAGTTGTGTCTCTACCCTTCTTTTCTCTAAACTTATCTTTTTACTATGGGCAACCATCCACCCTCCATTCCTCCTCCTTCCCCCTTAAGCCTGTGTTCTTAAAAACTTGAAACCTCTTCAACTCCCACCTGATCTAAAACCTAAGCATCTTACTTTCTCCTGCAACACTGCTTGGCCCCAATACAAACTTGATAATGGCTCTAAATGGCCAGAGAATGGCACTTTTTATTTCTCCATCCTACAAGACCTAAGTAATTTTTGTCATCAGATGGGCAAATGGTCTGAGGTGCCTTATGTCCAGGCATTTTTTACACTTTGCTCCCTCCCTAGCCTCTGCTCCCAATGTGACTAGTCCCAAATCCTTCTTCCCCTCCAGCCTGTCCCTTCAGTCCCAAACCCAAGTGCTGCTGAGTCTTCTGAATCCTCCTTTTCTGCAGACCCCTCTTTCCTCTCTGCCCCTTCCCAGGCCACTCCTCAGCAGGCTGAATCAAGTCCCGATTCTTCCTCAGCCTCTGCTCTCCCACCTTATAGCCCTGCTGTCACCTCCCCTCCCCACACCCAGTTTGGCTTACAATTTCGTTCTGCAGCAAATACTCCCCCACCTGCCCAACAATTTCCTCTTCAAGAGGTGGCTGGAGCTGAGGGCATCGTCAGAGTGCATGTACCATTTTCTCTATCAGACCTTTCCCAAATTAATCAGTGCTTAGGCCCCTTCTCATGAGACCCCATTAAAGATATACAGGAAATCCAGTATTTAACTGAGTACTACAACTTAACCTAGAGTGACTTAAATGTCATCCTAACTTCTACCCTTTCCCCAGATGAGCGAGATAGAGTTTATACCCTAGCCCAGTCCCACACTGACACCCACTGTCGTCATGAGCAAGACCTTCAAGAAGGCATCAGTATAGTTGCCCAAGAAGATCCCAAGTGGGAATACCAGACAGGCTCGCCAGGTGTAGGTAGGTGAGATTATATGATTTCCTGCCTAGTTGAAGTGCTTAAAAAGGTAGATTTCAAAGCTGTTAATTATGACAAACTTAAAGAAACTACCCAAGGTAAAGATGAAAACCCAGCCTAGTTCATGGTTCATCTGGCAGCAACACTGAGACACTTCACAGCCCTAGACCCTGAAGGGTCAGAAAGCCATCTCATTCTCAATATGCATTTTATCAACCAGTCAGCTCCTGACATTAGAAAAAAACTCCAAAAATTGGAATCCATTCCTCAAACCCCACAACAGGAATTAATCAATCTCGTCTTTAAGGTGTGAAATAATAGGAGGCAGCCAAGTGGCAATGCATTTCTGAGTTACAATTACTTGCCTCTGCTGTGAGACAAAACTAAGCTGCACCTCCAGCACACAAGAACTTCAAAATGCCTAAGGTGCAGTGGTCAGGCATTCCTACAGGACCTCCTCCCTCAGGATCCTGTTTCAGGTGCCAGAAATCTGGCCACTGGGCCAAGGAATGCCTGCAGCCAGGGATTCCTCGCAAGCCATGTCCCATCTGTTCAGGGACCCACTGGAAATCAGACTGCCCAGCTCACCCAGCAGCCACTCCTAAAGCCCCTAAAGCTCTGGCCCCGTGCTCTTTGACTCCTTCCCAGATCTGCTCAGCTTAGCAGCTGAAGACTGACACTGCCCCATCACCTCGGAAGACCCCCTGGACCATCAGGGATGCCAAGCTTTGGGTAACTGTCACAGTGGAGCATAAGTCCATCCCCTGTTTAATTGATACAGGGGCTACTCACTACACATTACCTTCTTTTCAAGGGCCTGTTTCCCTTGCCTCCATAACTGTTGTGGGTATTGAAGGCCAGGCTGCTAGACCCTTTAAAACTTCCCAATTTGGTGCCAACTTGAACAATATTCTTTTATGCACTCCTTTGTTGTTATCCCCACCTGCCCAGTTCCCTTATTAGGCTGAGACATTTTAACCAAATTACCTGCTTCCCTGACTGTTCCCAGACTACAGCCACATCTCATTGCTGCCCTTCTTTCCAACCCAAAGCTACCTTCACGTCTTCCTCTTGTCTCTCCTGACATTAACCCACAGGTATGGGACACCTCTACTCCCTCCCTGGCAACCAATCACACACCCATACCTAATCACCCTTACCCTGCTCAACACCAGTATCCCATCCCACAACAGGCTTTAAGGGGATTAAAGCCTGTTATCACTCGCCTTCTACAGCATGAGCTTCTAAAGTCTACAAACTCTCCTTACAATTCCCCCATTTTACCTGTCCAAAAAATGGACAAGTCTTACAGGTTGGTTCAGGATATGTGTCTTTTAAACCGAATTGTTTTGCCTATCCACCCTGTGGTGCCCAACCGGTACACTCTTTTGTCCTCAATATCTTCCTCCACAACTCACTATTCCATTCTTGATCTTTTTTTTTTTTGAGACAGAGTCTGGCTCTGTCACCCAGGCTGGAGTGCAGTGGCGTGATCTTGGCTCACTGCAAGCTCTGCCTCCCAGGTTCCCACTATTCTCCTGCCTCAGCCTCCGCGAGTAGCTGTAACTACAGGCGCCCGCCACCACGCCTGGCTAATTTTTTGTATTTGTTTTTAGTAGAGATGGGGTTTCACTGTGTTAGCCAGGATGGTCTCGATCTCCTGACCCCGTGATCTGCCCATTTCAGCCTCCCAAAGTGCTGGGATTACAGGTGTGAGCCACCGGGCCTGGCCATATTCTTGATCTTAAAGATGCTTTTTTCACTATTCCCCTGCACACCTCGTCTCAGCCCCTCTTTGCTTTTTCCTGGACTGAACCTGAGACTCATCAGTTCCAGCAGCTTACCTGGGCTGTACTGCCACAAAGTTTCCGGGATAACCCTCATTACTTCAGCCAAGCTCTTTCTCATCATTTACTTTCTTTCCACTCCTCTGCTTCCTACCTTATTCCAAACATTAATGACCTTCTACTCTGTAATCCCTCCTTTGAGTCTTCGCAAAGCTTGGGTTGGGATTTGAGAGATCAGCCGGACACAGTTGGCAGGGAAATTATGCCAAGGTAGGTAATGGATGGGGAAGAAATTTGAGCTTTGGAGGGGGATACCTGATATCCTTTGGAAAATAAATGTTGAAGGAGCAGGACGGTATCTTGCTGCAAAGATACTCCCCTCATATTTGGACTCCCCACAACACAAGTTACTATTCTTGTGGCTGCTCCATTATGCATCTCTCGGTAAAGACCCACTGGAATTCCCTTGGG